GGGAAAAAAAGTGACTAGAAATGCATAATTTATCCTCTTTGTACCATTCATTATTTTTATAAAGCTCTATCATGTCCTTTCTTCATGTCATTGAGATACAAAATTTTCTCTCTCAGCCTCTATCATTTGCTTTGCCTGTCTCCCGACAGCCTCTGTGTCTATCTATTTTGCCGCTGAGTTCCCAGAACTGAACAAAGTACTCAAGATGTAGCAAAGAACCAACCTGTGGCAATTACAATGTTTCCATTTTGACTTTTTTCTTTCCCACTAGAATTTTGTTCAACGCTGATGTCCACTGAGCTTTTTACAATAATGCTAGGATTTTTTTTTCTGAGCAGTTGCACTCAATTAAGGACCCAATAGTTTGTGTGAGTAACCCAAAATATGCCATCCAATATAATGCTTTCCCAGCATTAATTCCTCTGGTCACTGTGATGTTTATTCAGCTTCTTAGGATAGGCTTCTCTTCACTATCTCCAAGGCTCTTTGACAGTAAGCAAAATTAAATAATGGTATTCATTCTGTAGGCTGCCACATCCTTTCACCTCTTTCCAGATTGATAATATTTTTAACACGCCCTTTTAACTCATGTGTTTCCTTGAGATGCAATGTTTTCACTGGAGGCCTCTAATGTACTTGGGATGCATTTACACTGTCCTGCACAGTGAATACAAACACAGTCAAGCAAGTCTATAATGGTACAGCACTGCACTTCAACTTGTATATCGCCTGTTTCTCAGCAGGCTAACTCACTGTTTTGTTATCAGTGGCTGCGGTATCTCAGCAAGGCACTACACGTGAAGGGCAGGCATGAGCCACGTCATGTTGGAAGGCAACCACATAGTAGTAGTATTTGCTTTCTGACAATTTTGAATGCTCAACAATACTTTGTCTCCATAAGTTTTTTCAGGACTCCTTATAAATCTCTGACAATTATTTTGTTAAGTGATCAGCTCCAAGTCTGAACATATGTATACATACTTGATTTTCCTTATGCCAACGTCTTCCCAATGGGGTAAAAAAAATAGACCTAGAAATAGGAAGATTGTGAATCTGAGTGTACCCCAGATACCATGGATCTGATATCTACATTGCTGCTACTCAAGCTCTCCTTCACCCCTAAAGGCCACTCCCAGCCACTCAGGCTGCTGCGGTGGCTCTGCCCAGTCAGAGCTGTCTGTAAGAAGCAGCTGGCAAAGCTGGGGAGGACCTGTGTCCTTCTGGCATTCCAGTCCTTTTGCACTGCTGTAGCTTTGTCTCCTCAGGACATCCAGAAATCTCAGGCAGTGGTTTAAAATACACATTTCTGCCCAAGGTAAAGAAAAAAAAATGCTCTGGGGAAGGCATATTTTCCTTTTACAAAGACAGAACCTAGGAGTTCGTCCCCTATTTTAGCATACTCATGTTTTATTGCTTCCTTCAATTATCACTTCAGCTCATTTTCCAGGTTCCAAAGTCTCTAATTTCCAAAAGGACTGCTAGCCTATAGACACAGAAAAATGGTTTTGCACTGTCTACTGTCAAAGTTATTACTACAATTATTACATTATTTAAAATTTATATTACACATACCTAAAAGGCTGCAATCAAATTAGGTCCCACTGCACTCACCACTACCCAAATGTGTAACTAACGGCATTTCAGGCTCTCAGGAAAAACATTTAATTCTAAGAAAAACTCCTCTGGGCAGGAATTGCCTATAATTTTGTTCTGTGGGAAAACAGTGCCTGGTGTTGGTACAGCCTAGAAGCTGCACCACAATCTTAATAATGACAGTAGTAATGATAATTAATATTAGTATTGAATATTGTTACTTCCGTTTTATCACAGCTTACCTCTCTCTATTATTTTAATGTGATGTGATAAGAATGGGTTTCCTTCCTTCAGCTGAAGCATTCTTTATTCAAGGTTTTGGTGATAGTTAGGGATGCTTTGCTCTGCTTCCAAGGAACAAATAGGCCAAAAGCCTTTGGTGGGATGAATGGTGTTTGGAGTGAGAACAAATGGCAAAAGAGAGGGGACACCATCAAAAGCTGTTCTGCTCCACATGAATGTTCAGTGTTCCACGATGAATTCCTTCAGTACACCGAGTTACCGGAAAAAATCCTCTGCGCTAGGAAAGATGCACATGTCACTGCTGAGTCAGAAGCTGGCTATGGTCATATCACACACTAGTACACATTTTTTTAGATGTTCTTTTTGGGGGGTTTTGTCACCCTCTCCCAAAGAAGTAGACGTTCCTTAAAAATTATTGCCAGAAGGCATTCCACTTGTAGATTTTAAACATACTGTCCTTAAACTAAACTGGGAGAAATAGGGACAAAATGTCAAAACATAAAGGCAGGATAACTTAGTGTTAAAATGTTATAAAAATGTAATGCTGATTTAATACTGATTTATTCCTGCAATGCAAGAGTTTAATATTTTTTCTTTTCATTCTGCTCACTATACATATAGAACTATTGTGACTGCAAACAGCCCTACTTTTCTAAATGCTATTGCAAAAGTTAGGCTCCAAATGGCATTAAGCTAGTTAAAATTAAACACACCTCAAGCAGAGTTTAAAGCAAACAAACAAACAAACAAACAAACAAAAACCACAGTGAAATACTTTACAAGCACTAGAAGAGAGTGAAACAGCTAAGGTTCTATCCTAAAGATACAGGTGATATCCATCTACAAAAATGGCTCACCTGTTAGTAAAACATCATTGTAACCCTAACAAGGAAAAATAATCTAGAAGGCATGGATATCTGCACAGTACTAAGATACGTCCTATTGAGTTTTCCTGCAAGTCTTTTAAGCTATCATCCAATTGTCTCACTTGCCCCTTCTGGAAATGTTATTCTTCACCTTCAGCCTAGAGAGGGAAATGTTTATAAGTCTGTGTGTAAAACTGCACCGAAGATTAAAAGCCACAGGAACACATGAAATAATATCAGTACTCAGGTGCTTTGTGTCAGTGAAGACCAGACAGTAAGTATGTCTTCCCTATAATTTTTTTTATCTCTTCCTGTGCCTCCACCTGGGAGAAAGTGTTATGAATTTATTTTGTAAGAAAAATACATAGGCATCATAGCAACAGCATGGCATTTCTTGCTGTCAAAACAGTGACCATTTCTTTGAGTGAAGTTTAAGTTGCTAAACTCTCTTCTCTAAATGCATCTTAAGTTAAAAAGCATTCTTACTCTTCTAAAAGATTTTGTAATACGAATTGTTTTCCAGCATTTTAGGTGTTTTTTTTTAAACTGTATTTGTTTGGAGTGTTATGAGTATTGATACTCGATTTGATTAAAAGGGTGTGAGCATTCTTTTTTATCAGGAAAAATGAGCAGAGTTTCTCCTGTGCCATGAGATTCAGCATGTGGCAGATCTTTGACTTCTCCAATGTTACTCTTTCCACTTCAGAGCAAGCGAATTCACGATAAGGTAATACAAGCAAAAAAATCAGCTCTTCTATGCTCTGACTGGATTTGCGCTTTTTTTTTTCTTTTTTTTTCTTTTTTTTAATTCTAGAATTAATATTTAGCATGCAAATTAGACAGATAAATATGTGGTGACCCCCTGTCTTTTGTACCCAACCTTCTGTCTCCCTCATTTGTGCTATCATTGTCATTTGGCTGTGTTAAGGTCTGCCAGCAGCTCTGCTGTAAGCTGCGTTGTTTTGTGAAGAGCTCCAGTGGGGGTCTTTCTTGTCTTTGGCAAACTCTTCCTAAAGACTATTTTCTGCAGTGTGCCAGCAGCTCTTGGCACAGATTCATCAACTCACAGTGACTTGCAGCACTGATACTTAATAGTCAACCCCTGTAGCTTAGCAGTAGCTGAGATGGATAATGCAGCCTCTGAGTTGTTACTTGCATGTTGGATTTCTTCTTTTTGGCAAACTTAAAAAGTCCAGTTTAATCAATATAAACCAGGGAAAGAGAAAAGGGGAGATCCATCTTGCACTTTGGAGAGTGTTTTATCAACTTTACTACTATTGAGAGAGAGAATAAGAATGTTCCAGGCAGAGAAATTAGAAGAGAATAGATTCAACAAACTGATACGACTGGGCCTCTGGTGGAGGAGGAAAGGAAGAAGAAAGGAGAGACTGCCTCAGTTTTTGTCAGTCGTGTCAAGCAGAGAGAAGGATGTGAAGATGGGCGTCCATGACACACCGTAGGCTGCTGCTGTAGGAAAACATGCCGCTCCCTAGACTCAGGATAACAGAAGGAAGACCCTAAATCTCAAAAGTGGCAGAACACAATGATATCTCCCACCCATCTGGCCACTTTAGCCTGATCAATTCTCAGCCTTTCCCTCCTATTCCTTCCCATCGCCCGTGTTTCCCTTCCCGTTTGCTGCCTGCATAGCGCCCAGGGCAGCGGGCCCTACACCTCCTCAACCCTTAGAGTCTGGTGCATCATACTAAATACTCGGCAGAAGTCCAAAACCCCGCTGCATCCCTAGATCTTCAGTGACCACGAGCTGCTGTTCAGAGAGGTCCCAGCAGCAAGTTCTCACACAAAAGCAGTTCCTCACCTGAGGATGTTGAAGCTAAATGAAACAAAATGAAAAGCTGTTGCTAAAAAAGTTTGGTCGCGCCTTTGTCGGGGTTTTGTGGTGATGTTCTGAAATCGAACGGGCTGCAAAGGTGGGGGCCGGGCGGCAGGAGCTGGAGTGCAGGTCAACTCCCGACATTTCACGGTATGGGTGCTCCCTGGGTCCCCGCTGCGCCGCGGTCCGCTCTCGGAGTGTGAGTGTACCTCTGTGTGCGTTTTAGGGACAAGCCTCCCTGAGGAGGCGGCAAGGGTGGGGCGGGGTTGCTCTGAGCCGAGGGGCCACATCCTAGCCCAGGGATGCGGGTTAAGGTGAGGGCGGCGAGGCGCCTTCCCACCCCCGGGCCGGACTGGGCGGTGCCGGGGGCTGGCTGCGGGCGGAGGCGAAGGAGGAGGAAAAGGCCGAGATATTCCTGAATGAACGGCTCTCTCCTCACCCCACACCTCCGCCCGGCTCCCGCCTCCCTCCCGCCACTCGCCGGTGTCTGTTCGAGGCGCAGCCAGTTTCTATAGCGACGGCGCTGAGCCGCGGCTCTTCCGAGTAGTAACAAAGCCCGGCCGCCCGCTGCCGCGCCGGGGCTGCGGGGGGACGCGGATCCTTCTCCCGAGGACACCGCGACAGGTACGGAGCCAGGGGATGCCCGGCGGCGAGGCTCGGCGACCTGCCGCCGGGGGAGAGAGGGTCTTCGCCGCCGCGGGCCGGGCGGCGGCTGCGGGGGAGAGGGGGAGGCGTCCGCGCGTCCGTCCGTGAGTCCGTCCTTCCCTCTGCTCGCGCCTGTGGCAACCCGATGGACAGCGGGGAGGGGCGCGGGAGTGGAGCAGCAGGTACGCCCCGGGCGGCCCCTTCCCGAGTTGGCCGCGGTGGCGGTGCGGGTCCCCCCGGGTCCCCCCGCTGGCCGGGGCGGCGGCAGCGGCGGCGGGAGGGGACGGCACGGGCGGGCTCCGCGCCCCGGGCGGCAACCGGTGGGCTCGGCTCGCACTCTCCAAGGGGCACAGCGCTTCTCCTCGTCCCTTAAGGTTATCCTTTGATAATAATATTAATAATAATAATTTTAGTGGTGGTGGTGTGTGTGTGTGTATATATATATATATGTATATATATAAAATATGACCACCTGGAAATTTCGGGGTTGCAAAGTTTCATTTCTTCAGCTTTATGAAGTAATGATAAATAGGATAATAGTTTTAAAATGCGCCACTTAGTTAGGGAAAAAAAAAAAAAAAGAAAAGGATTGGTATTATAGAGTAAATAAGAAAATCACTGCTTGTTTCTAGGAGTAAGTGTACCGAAGGGTTTTAGGTAAAATAAGTGTAGCTTTCAGAGTCAGAGGCTAAGATGGTAGAAGTGATAAACGTTTTCTTATCTCGGGCAGCCAAGGTTAGGCAAGAATTAGCAGTCCTCACCTGCTAATGTCAGAAGGTGGATGAGAAGGTCATTAGCAGGTCGTCTGCCTGAGCAATGCTTGTGGTGGCTGTAATCAATAACATCCGAATAGTAGTTGGCTGCATGAATAACCATGCATTTCAGCAGAAGTTTAAAATGCAGAGGAACTTCCCAATGATAACAGAACGGCTGACCCTGCATGATGAGGTCCTGAGGAGCAATCGTTATGGTTCGTTGCTGAGTGATTTAGGAAATAAACTAGATAGCGAGGCCAGGCAAAATTGTGCTCTGACTTGTATGCAGCCAGCAGCATATTCTAGATGGGAATCTTCTTGAATGTGAACAACGGGAAAAAGGGAAATAGTATGTTAGATGAGGAGAGTAGGGCTAGCATAGTTATTGAGTGGGTGGACAAGAATTGACATTTTAAGTAATATGTAATCTAAATATCAGATTATTAGAGATTTTAACACTAAGCGTAAGGTAGTATCAGGGCATCAGAATTCAAAGGCTAAGCATTGACTGGAAGAAGTTTGAGAAGCATATAAGTGAAATGTTAAGTGGAGCTACCAATAGCATTTAAGTAAATGATGTGAAAATAGTGGAAAGAGAAGATACAGCTCTTCAGCAATCATGAATACAAGTAGCATAGAAAATGGAGACAGGCTTCTCTTGCAGAAGATGTATAAATGAAATTAAGTTTTAAATGAGGCTTAATAAAGTTGAAACATTTCTTGATATAAAATTTAAACTAGTAATGTAGCAATAGATGCAGTGGAATTCAGATGTAGTATTTTAAAAGCAGCAACAACCAAAAAATGGATGGAATTTCTCAGATATGTTGATTGCAGTGGTTTGCCCAGTGTTTGTAAGTGCTTGTCCTTTGCTTCTTTCAAAAGTGTCACAACAATTGTTCTGTTGAAAAAGTTATAACCTTCTGAATGACCTCTGTTTTCCCATGCAACACTGGAAAGAAAACTCTTGAGTTTATTAGATGTGTAAAAATGGAGACCTCAGATTAGTTTAGCGTGATGGAAAACAGCATTTCAAGACCATACTCTGGACTATCTGAAATTGAATGCACCTAGCAGGAAATAAAAGGTCAGCTGTGTATAATAAAGATCCAGACACTTCTAGTCCCTCAGCTGCATAGCAGAGAATGAGAAACATCAGAACTCAATACGACCTTGCCTTAAAGGCAAAAGGAATAAGTAAAATATATATGGTTACGCTAACAAGTGGCATTTCAGTCCTGAAATTGTTCCTTGTGGAACAACTGCAAACTCCACTAGATGAAGTTTATCAGAGGTCAAAACAATGTAGTAGCTGAGGCAGTATCAGGAAAGAACACAATAGTTCAGTACAGATAATACATCCCATAATAAAGCCTGACATTCATAAGCGTTTCTGATGGTCTAAACAGTTCTAACAATCAGATCTTACTCTCTCAGGCTGTCATTTCACACCTTTCTGTTGCTCTTCAGTCCACACTAGGTTTATAAGAAGCCTGTTCTGAAGCAGCTTCTAAAGCCATGCACTCTGCAGTGATATAAGGCCACTGCTGGGGGCTGTTGACCAGTATTCCTCTTGCTGTGTTCAGTCTGACTTTAACATGTTTGTCTGTATCCTAGGTGTGATGACTTGCTGTTAAATGTTTTTTTCTGGAGATGTACGTGTGTTTGCTGTAGCTAGCAACTATTTCAAATATACAGGGACTGCTGCCTTGAGATTATGATTTCAGTCCTTCCAGACAGGTTGCTAAGGAGTATTAGGGATCCTTGGAGAGCAAACCTCAGGAAATTCTCCTGTGGCCTTTGCACACATTGCGTGCTGAAGCGCTTGCCTATCCAATATAAACTACTGTTCTGACAGTAATATAGTATGGGCAGGTATGTACCATCTGTGTCACAGTGTATAATATATGATAGTTGTGACTTTCTAATATAAAGAAAACATTTACAAGTGTGAGAGTGCTGTGGTAAGCTGCAAAGAACTCAAGCCTCTTCAAAATGTACCTTAGGTTTCAAATTCATGTGCAAAAACAGATAAAGAAGTACAAGATGTGCAGCTTTTAACCTACTACAGCTCTAAAATTTTTAAAACCCAATCCTCTGTGTTTCATTCAGCTTGCTTTTCCTGCAGAGGCAATGTAGCAGGATTTTAGGCACAGTAGATGCCATAATTTGTCATACCTTTCCTTTTCCCATTTTACCTTTTCCACTATGGATGAGTGAACACAAACATTCAGTTGAATGTTTGAACACAAACATAAAAGTTGAAATAACACAGCAACAATTAAAGTTTAGTCCAGGTAGTGTGAAAACCTGAGATGTTCCAGTGTCTCTGAAGTGTGTTAAGCAGACTTCAAATTCGTTTAGGTTCTGTCTGATACTTCTTGCCGTTTCCAGGAAATTTAACCAAAGATGTAGTTCCCTGAAAGACTCAGGTTCGGAGGTGTTTTGTAGATACATATCACATTTTGAAAGTAGCATCTATAAGGATTGCTACCTCTGGTGTTGCCATATTCAGAAACTGGGGAAAGGAATAGAACAGGCTTTCCTATCTGAATTAGGAATTGCTCAAGTTATTTGCAGAAATGGCAGCCTACAAAATAGAAAGGAGTGTGACAATCTGGATTTGAGAAAACCTGAAGGTATATAGAGCTGCAATGAGGAACAAGGTGGGGTTGATATGCAGTCCATGATGGGGACGTAGCCCTGGAGTCAAGGGAGAATTACCTGGGACTGGTATGAGGAGCCAAGTTGAGACAGGACAGGGACAGTCTCTCCTGGTGGAGACCCAGCCAGGAAAATCTGTAGATATTAGAAGGTGTGCATCAGTTCCTCACAGTGGATGGCCCAGTGAGGTGCTGAAGGCTTCTTTTAGACCACTTTTTGTAAGCCTTCAAGGCTTCATCGGCAATATCTCTGTCAAAGGGTGCTGGTCAAGAAACCCAAACCTTTCCATCACAGTTTCAGGGCAGGTGGTGTTCCAGGCAGGGGAACTCATCTTGGCAGGCAGTTCATGACAAAGAAAGAAAACTCGCATTTCGGGTGGATGTACTCAGGCAGGAGATGTTCTCCTGTGAACGGAAAGAAAATATTCCCCCCTTGGTGACTCACAAGCAGTGACCTGATGAGAGTCTGCTTGAAAAAGCATCTGACCTTGAAGCTTCTGCTGTGGCATAGCTTTATGTGAAAGTATGGCTTGACTGCTGAGGAGCTACCCTGCAGGTGTTTATCAAGAACCTGCAGAAGCCATTTGTCTCCCAATACATGATGGGGGACCTGGAGTATTTGCACAGTAGTATTCTCTGTTGAAAACAAACCTGTTCAAAACTCAAGCTGATACTGGCTTTTCACTCTTCAAAAAATTCCTACAAGTAACTCTCAAAAAAACTTGTTAAGGCTTACCAGTGCTTCTACGGCTATTGAAAATATGTAGTTTATTTAGCTAGAATTTTATAAACACCTTAGGCAGAAATTTTGGGTAGTGTTTGAATCACCATGTGGGCTGTTGTACAACATGTGTGTGTAATGAGGGCTTTTATCTTCCTGTATCTTTTGTAGTTCATGGAGTTATACTTGTATGCTTGTTAAAGTGACAGCTAAATGAAAGTCAAGAAAATAAATAAAGCGATGTGTTTGGTGCTAGGTTCAAATAGCACAATGAATGAATTGCAGGGCCACAAATTACACAATGAGAATAAAACAAAGCATTCACTAAATAACTGCCGACCATACTGCACACTCGATGAAGCTTCCTGTGGCAGAAAATGATGTGTTGCTGTATGACTAAAACTGTATTGTAATACGTATATTCATTGGAATGCTGATGTTTTGTAATGTTCTTGGATTAGTTTTCAGTGTATGACAGACATTTTACTGTGTCCACTAAATCAAAGAGCGCTTTTGTACCTGATGCTTTATTCCTGTAATCAAGTTGCCTCTCATTCTCTGGCAAACTAAACAGACTGAACTCTTTAAAACCTTCACTTGAAGGAGTTTTATTCAGCTCCTGAATATTTTTTTTGTGACTGATCTCACTGTTCCTGTGAGAAACTGTCCAGTCGTTCAGTGTCCTTTATAGAATGTGAACATCAGAACAGTGCAAAATATCTTAGTTTGACTTTCACCGCTACATGAAAGGTAATGGTATCTAGAGGTAGAACCCAGCTGTGTTTCCTTCCTCAGCTATCCCATGTTGCTATATCCATGTTGCCATGATCTGACACTCAA